AAAATAAACAAAAGATGTCATTTGAATATTAAAAGCTTTCGACAATGCAAATGACATATTGGTTTATTAAATAAAATAAAATAAATCCGTGGCGCTACAACCTTTTTAGGTCTAGGTCTAAGATTTCTGTATCGGTTTCATGACCATTTGTCAATCCAATAGGTCAGCCTCCTGTGTCTGACACACTTGCCATGTACTTTTTGGGTCTAATACACGCCGATTTCGTCACGATGTTTCCTTCACCGTTCGAGCGAATGTTAAATGGGTACATAGACAGAAAGCCTTTGGTGTAGAGTCGGCCAACACATATTGTTTTATTAATCATATAATTTCTGGGAACATTGTATTTTGATTGCTTCTTAGGTTATCATATAATCTTAATGATGTATTATCGGCCCTTTGCCGGCAATCCGGAAAAACCTTACTTGATCACGTAACAATAGGTTATTCTTTATTTCGATGTAATGTTTTACTACGGTGCCCGGACACGTCCTATATTCAGACTTTCCTACTTAAATTTACGCTTTTAAAAGATTGTAAAAGAAATAGTCATTAGGAATTTCCTAATAAAGGGTAGTTATCCCTTTCAAATATTGTTTGGCCTTTTCTATAGTTAAAAAATTAAACCCGTTGACTGATCATTTAGATGCCAAGTCACTGTGGATTCTCATTCTCACAGATTTAGAGTTTAGCAAAATGCTGTCCAATACAGCTGAAGAGACGTTATTACATGTCCTGACTATCTGTCTTATATATGGCTCATATAAGGCTACAACAGGTACAACAAAACAAATTATAGGAATGAACATAACAGAGATAAACTTCAAAAGCTTGCTGTAAATACAATACAAAAAGTTTAAACAGGAATAAATAGTACTTAATCATACTAGTTACAAATGCTATTTTGCTAATGATATATAATTTATAATCCCTATACGCACATTAGTTAATACCTCCGACGACAAAATGGCCGGGGAATTAGTCAAAGAGAATATATACCTAGGTAACTCTGAAAATGTTTAGAAAATGAAAAACGGCTTAATGTAGAAAGTTGTCAATACTTTTATTGTTTTTCGAAGTAATCTCCGTTCCTCTCTACACATCGTCGCATTCAATGGAACCACTGAGAAAGGCAGTGGGCCCATTCTTCCTTAGGGATCTCTTCTATCGCACTTTCGTACGCTTTCACCGCTTCTTCAGGGCTCGTAAAGCGAATACCTCGAATTTTATCTTTAGTTTTGGGTTCGTAGCAATATATCGAGCTTTCATCACCTGTGACGATGTCAAATACAGCATTTGAGTCACCGCTGTTGAACTTATCTAACATTTGGAGACACCAGTCCATGCGAAGGTGTTTCTGGTCATCGGTAAAAGCATTGGGAATCCATTTGGTACAAAGCTTCCTGACGCCTAAATGTTCGTGTAATATTTTTTGAACTTGACTCATACCAATGTCTAGGCTTGCCGTATATGCTGATAGGTCACTCTCTTATCTTCCTCTATCATGCGTTGCACAGCACTGATGTTATATTCAGTAGTCGCTGTTAAAGGACGTTCCTCACGCCGATCATCATTGAGATTGCTACGTCCCTTAAACTCGTTAAACCAATTGTAAACAGTGGCACGAGATGGGGCTTCATTAATAAATGCTAATCGCAGCCTATCATAGCTTTGTTGTTCAGTAAGCCCACAACGAAAGTCATAATAAATCATTGACCGAAAATTTTCTCGCGTTAGGTTCATTTTCACGTGTAACAAGAGTTTTAGATTTGCCGCCAATTCACAAAAACAAATGAATACAATATACTACATTAGGTTACCAAAGAGTTCTAAAATTGAAATTCAAAAAAGTTTTCATTTGCAATGTTTCTAACTGGCCCGTACTAAACATTTTCAGTGTTACTCACGTATAAAGAAAAACCTGATCAGATTGTAAGCGGGTGATTCGTCACTTTTGTGTCTTTGAGCCAAATCGTACTATAAAGGCAGATGAAGTCTTCTAACAAGATTGGTTACAGAATCGTCTCTAAATATTAAGTATGACTCTCTCTCCCTTGGCTTGTGTGTGCCTATTATGAATATTTTTTTTCTACAACTTCATAATACGTCTTGAAATGGAAACCCACAAGATCGGAAATCGATTTATTATTAAAATTACTTCGGAATAATATTACACACTTTTTATCCAGTAATGGGTTCTCAAGGGAATTTTTTGCGGAAGTAAGTGGTTGCTACGTGAACGTTTTAATAATTTGATTGCGATTAATGTATATAATTGAAAATATTAATGATTTCGAATATATTTTATTTATTTATTCCACATCATTACGTATCGTTACGTAGCCAGCCTCGGGCTGGTGCATTTCTGGTGCTGGTGCTTCGTGACCGTTAGAGACGTTTCAAAGATTGAATTCAAAAGCCGCTTTTTTGTTTTGTTTGCCTTATTGTTTTGCCAAAATCAAAATATGAACGTCACGGTTTTTAACTGAGACATGTAGCCTTCGAGTCGGTTAATACTTTAAAAGTATTACTTATAGTTTATTAAACAATAAACTACCACCTTTTCAGAATGCCAAATCATAAAATGACTGCTTCACGGCTGATTTGAGAGCGACCGCCGATGCGAAAATCGCTGCGTGAGTTCGAAAAGTGAGTTACAGAATCGCAGGGCTGACCTAAAAAGATAGAAGCGCCACTGACTCTTTTAATTTTAATATTGATTTATATTATGATGTTATAATTATCAGACACTAAACATTACCCTAGGAAGAAATATACATCAGAATCTTCGTTGGAATGTCTTATATCAAGTCTAAACGTAAAAAGTATGATGACATAAGGATTGCACGGGGACAATGTTCAGGAAATGGTTCATCTCAGTTCACAGGAAGAAGTCGTTATGTGGAGGCGTGGCTGGTCACCATTGTCACGTATGAACTAGCCTTGATCTCATCACGAACAGAGAACGAAATTGGCGTGACCCGAATTTTAAAATTATTTAAAACTGCGAGTATATTTAATAAATAAATTACGGATTTAAACTACGTCAATTTCTGCAAATTATTTTATTTACGGGAAAGTCAAAATCATTTATTCATATAGGTAAATGTTCACTTACGAACGTAAAAAAAAATATACATATGAAATGCTTCTAATTTTACATTTACAGCCATTTCTCAAATCAAAAAACGGAAGAGAAGAACTGGAAAGTTTTTGGTTTTACACAACTTTTGGAGCTGCAACAATTACACCTTGTTCTACGTGACATCTTAAGTAATAAATCATAAAAAAAAAATTAAAAACAAATTTGTCCTCTATCAGCAGTATGCATGGTGAAATAGGAGCACGCACTTACATTCTCGTGGTACCGGTACGTAGCTGTTTTGTAAGGTAAAATCTGCCGCCTATAGATACATAAGGCTCGCGAGTGCGTTGTCGGCCTTTTAGGAATCGGTACGCTCTTATCTTGAAGAAGTCAAGTTCTATTTATTTCACATAGTGATAACGCGCGGCAAAAGAAATAATCAGCCGAAAATTGTCCTGAATCGGCATGCCAAACCATATTCATAGGTTCGAATGCTAGCTGGAATATTTCTACAGGCGTATTTCCCCTTTTTAAAGAACAGGGGGCAAAGGGGCAGGAGGCTCATCTGATGCTAAGTACTCGAATTGTTAATTATAGAAGGCTGCAGAAATGCACAGATGGCACACATAAATAGGTGCAGTATATGGTATACATTTTAAAGCCTACGTTGCAGGGCCGGATTTAGAGGTATGGAGGCCCCGGGGCAACAAGGGAGTCCCAGGCCCCATTTTATAGTCCAAATATAATAAAAAAATACAGTCAATAATTAATTGTAAAACCAAGTAGATTATCTTAATATTTAACAAACATATAAAATATATCAAAAGTTGTTTACTGGTAATATAAATAATTTTTTTCGAAGTCTATTATGGAGGCCCCAAGGCTGTAGCCCCAGTTGCCCTCCCCCAAATCCGACCCTGCTTCGTTGATTAGGTTTCATCATCCAATATCACGTCATATGGTCCGATTATAATGGCTCAAAGGTATGGCGATGGTTCAAAATGATTGATGTCACAGGATTAGTCACAAAGGGGACTGAAGGTAATTTATAGAATTATTTAAATAACAAGACGATGTATGAATTTGTTAATTCACATTTAAAATCCCGTGACAACTGAGGCGACTACAGGTTGACCTCTATTTCCAATATGTATGTCTCTTGCTTCGCCGGGAGCCAAACCCAGATGCACCGGCTTTCAGACTCAACTTCGATAAATAAATATAATATTTTATTTCTAATTCTTTCCTCCAACTTCGATTTGGTTCCCTTTCCAATCAATCAAAATACATTTATTCAGTTCAGATGCGTCTAAGGGCATGCTTATGAATGTCAAAAACGTTTACAAAATTCGCGAAACAGCAAGACTACGCCATCCGTTCGCAAAACTACCAGGAGGCCTTGTTCTGAGAAGAACGGGCAAGAAACTCAGCAAGTTTTACCATCCCTCTACGTTACAATTATTCAAAGGAAAATGTCATAAACCACAACGTCATTAAAGTTACATAAGTAAAAAAAAAAAGCTGTTCTGTGATTTACCACATTTGATTTTTTATTTTTTTGACTACTCAAACTCTCTAAAGTCTCTACAGACTCTTGGGCCGTGGGATTCAAGCGCACAGGCGCTAATTAAAGATTTAAGTTGGCATCTGATAGATAGTACGGGTAACCCCAGAGCTGGTGGTTTCCTCGCTCAACGAATAAGTATTATTTTAAAGGATCACTGCCACTGGGACCAAACTTTTTAAATATGTTTTAATTATCTTTTTATTATTACTATGTAGGTTACGAAAATTGTTAATACTGTATATTTGATTGTTATGTTTAGGTTTTAGCAAAGGATATTATTCCTTCCCAATGTAAATGAGAACCATTAAATCGCTCTTATACAATATTTTACTATTTTATTTTTGCTTGATGTTGGTGCTGTCGCCAGTTACCAGTGGCAGTAGCCAGTTATCCTGTAACATTATGGATTTGCTTGAGTTCACGACCTCAACCCTGTGGGTTCGTGGCTGGGCATCAATGGCTTACTTCCTAAGAAAAACATCGTGTGGTATGCATGCCTTAGGCTCAAAAGTTGACGGCGTGTGACAGGCACAGAACTACTTGCCAAGCAAGAAAATAATTGATTTTCTTTTATAGTACAGAGCAGGAGGCTCACCTGATGTTAAGTAATACCGCCCATGGACACTCTCACTGCCGAAGCTCGCAAGTGCGTTGCATTTTAGGAGTTGATACGCTCCTATCTTGAAGGACCCTAAGTCGAATTCGGAAATATTTGAGTGGGTAGCTGGTTCCACATAGTGGTGGTGCGCGGCAAATTTTTTCTAAAATAACGCTCAGTCGTGGAACGACGGACATCGAGGTGATACGGGAGTTATTTAGTATTCTGCCTTGACTTCTGATTATGAAACTCAGCTGCAGGTATTAATAGTCCGAGCAACTCCTCAGAACACTCTCCATGGTTACTGCGGTAGAAGATGCAGAGAGATCCCACATCTCTACGCAACGCCAAGGGATATTACACTAATATAGTGTCTTTGACATTCGAAAGTTTAGAAAATATATGTCTACGTGTAGCGCTATGTGGACGTAGTGGTGATGCGAGCCAAAAAGTGCCTTAAAAATGGCTCACATACATACATATACATAAATCAGATGCCAAGCCAAGAGATTGTAGCACTTCCGGTTTTTTCGTACCCAATAATCGCCAGTTCTCTTTTATTTCTTTCAAATAATGTAAGTAAAGAATAAAGATTTTATTGATACCTCGCCAATCGGCCAAAAGATCCGTTTTATTGGAGCCTGAAATAAGTGTAGATTTTTACGGAATCAAAGGTAAAAAGAAAATAAAATGAAGTGAAAAGAATTTTCATTTATTCCTTTTTGTAAAAGGCTGTGTATTGGTAAGTAATATGTTTAATCTTGCAGGTGTATTTCTGATGACATTTCATAAGAAAATGATGGTCTATTTTTATTCGGCCAACCTTAAAGCCGCATAGCCGAAAATAGAGTGGCGTTCAGTTAATGCTGTATTCAACGATACCCTTACTTAAGTTGACTAAAGTTTACCAATTAGCGCCCTGCTGCAGTGTATATAACGAAATACTTTATAGTTATATACACTATTAAAAACTCACGATTCTCTGTTTAATCAGATAGGCCGGTTACATCAATAAAAAAATATTCTTTCTAAATAAACAAATAGTCTTAAATTTAATCGGCGATGTCTGCACGGCTAAAGAAAATAACTTATAATATGAAAATATATCTGTGTATAGAAAGTATATGACCCCGATGTTACAATGCTACTATAAAATATCGTTATTGTAGGTGGAGTGCATAGACAACCTCAGACATCTCATAAAATACGTTGATCCATTAGCACTATATTACGAGTCGTTAAAGTTTTATAGAGACCAAAACAATACAAACACAGTTCATTCGTCGTACAGGTAGACAGACGTAATAAATTATCGAAAATTTGGAATGATTATCCCTTCTTTTGGACTATGAATTTGTGATATTTGCGAAACGGTAAATGTTAATTAGTTCGGTGCATTGTAGCAATACTAGCAAGCCTCATATTTCATTGAAGAATTCACCATTCATTTATCCAGGGCTGGCGCGACATACTGGCGCCCGTTCCCCGCGGCGCCAAGCCGACTTTTCCTGAAATCCTACGACAGTCGCGTGTCAGGGCCCGCCCTTTGCACTGCAATATGAAACCTCTTCATTTTGCAATATTCATTGTTATAATTGTGTCAGTTAATGGTAAAATCAGTGGAGGACCTCGCGGACGCTTCGATGACAAGAATCATCGAAAATCCTCGCACCATGTTACAGCCCATCACGCTCACTATTCGTATCACCCGCCCAGTGAAATACATTTTATGTGTCGACGCTGCTCCAATTTCGCACCCTACCCCGTCTACCATGGAGTACTTCCGACATATATTTATAAATATCGCGAATCGAATGGAAGCTTCGGATACCTTTTAAGCGGACTGGCGTTGTACAACCTAGGCAGAGCCTCGGCTGAACATTGGGAGTACACGCACTTTTACTCATTAAATAGAAACGAAAATTGTTCTATGCAAGTGGTGGACCAGAAACATTTTGAGGAGACTGTATTCCCATGTTTCATGATGTCGTCGTTCATGGATCGATCGCCGGAGAGTTTAATCCCCAACCCTGAGGCATTGGACATAACTTCACCTCAAATCGACGTCAGACCGTATATATCGCACACAGGATCAGCTCTGCAAGTGACCAGAGACCAGGAGTGTTTTATCTGGCACAATGCTACCACTTCCCGGGAAAAGAACGTGATACCGTGTGCTCTGCTGAAGGAATATGCGGAGACAATGAAGCCATCCGGAATTCCGGTGTACGTATGGCTTCCGATAACTATTGGTACTGTTATAACTATTTACATACTGTGCCAATGTTGTTGTAAGAGCAAGTCAAGGAAGGATGAATCCCTCAAGCCGAGTGCGATTAGATTTTACTCTCACTATTATTACTAAGATTAGCACGGGACACACTAGAGTACCTAGAGATGAATATTTTAGTACAATGCAGTGTGTAAAACGTTTAGCGTAAAGTATTGCCTGTGGGTGTATTGTGTGAATGTGTGTAAGCTTATATTACCTTTAAATGTTAGTTGTTTGCCAGACCTTAGTACCATGCTGTATTAATATTTATATTATTAAATAGCTAAGATGGAGACTGAGGTGTTTGTTTAAACAGTTATTACTGATGAATTATATAAATGTATAGTTACTTAGTATTGTATCTTATTTCGGCCATACAATGCACAGAGGCGATGAGAACTTGGAGAATCGTGGTTAGTCTTAATATATATAAATCTCGTGTCACAATGTTTGTCCTCAATGGACTCCTAAACTACCGAACCGATATCAATCAAATTTGCACACCATGTGCAGTTCGATCCAACTTGAGAGATAGGATAGTTTAAATCTCAAATTATAGTCGCAATTTTAATTTATTGCAAAATATTTGTTTATTATTTGATACAATTCTAACAGATGGCGCTGTGTTAAAATTATCAACGTTTCACATAAGCTGTCATCTACCTTTCACATAAGTTCTCCTACCGTTTCCCTTGAATAGTTTACTACTATGTAATATAACAAAAATCTTAGCCAGAGCAACGCTTGGCCGAGTCTACTAGTATACTATATTTTATACTGCATGAAATAAATAAAAGTAAAATTAAACATGCATGTTTGCGCCTTCATATAATTTAGTTACTTTAAACATGGAACCTTGTAAAACAGATCCCAATTTACACGTTGCACATTATGGCGTATTTAAACCAATATTTCCGTACAACAGTTAAAAATAAAATGTTACAAATTATACAGAAATTCTAAGTGGCCATTAACAAATCCGGTATTTTATTGTAGTTATTTGGCACCGTTTTCTATAACCGTGTTAGTTGGTCTATATTAAGGTATTAATATAGTTTTATGTCATAAAAGCTTTTCTATAATAAACTCAAACATAATTTAACTGAAAGACAAGTTGTTGACGTTTTTCATAATCTCTTTTCTTATTACGACATACCTCTTATTCATTTAAGTTATCCGTCTTTTAAGTATGTTAATTCAATGTTTTCAATAAATTAAATATAATAATTTTATAATTTAAGTTACAAATAAATTTTATACATGTAATCGATTTTTTCATTATGAATCATTTGATGTTTCGCTTCGTGGAAAGCTTGCATGAAAAGCGTAATGAACTTTTGCCATTCAAGCTGTAACAAATATTTGAACTGAAAACAATAGATTGAGGATCGACGACCTTATTGTTTTTTAGACTTTAAAAGGTCATTTATAAGACACTTAAAGTTCTTATATTATCGTAAATCTCATATATAAATTACGCGTCACGTTGTTTGTCCGCTATGGACTCCTAAGCTACTTAACCGATTTCAATCAAATTAGCACACCGTGTGCAGCTTGATCTAACTTAAAAGATGTGTATGTCACTGAACTCCTCTTAAATGGCTGGACAGATTTGAATATTTTTCTTTGTATGTGTTGGGTGGAGCCCTGGATGGTTTAGATTCACAACTCAGCCCGGCAGATGGCGCTGCAGTCGGTACTTTCATACTTTGTTTTATATCCCAATCGCTTGAAATATCATGCAGGACAACGTCTGTCGGGTCCGCTAGAAAAATATAAATTAAATTAAATTATTAAAGAATTTTTTAACATCCTGTGATCATCGTTTGTTTCAAATACTAAACAATATTAATCTATACACTTTTACACTTTACAAGTTACTAATATCAGTGATGTATCTAAATAAGAATGGCGATTAAACATTTGTCTTCCAGATAAACACACTTGCTTCTCGCCTACTATACGCTCAGGGTAATATTCAGAAACGCGAACTTTGACTTATGTCAATTCGCTTTTGCCGTACGGGAAATACACGTAGCGCTAAGGTAAAGAAATGATACTCTGACTTCTATACGTCATTGTTAATACTAATACTAATAGAATTGTTATAGCTACTTTGACAGGTTTGAGCAATTTTTTTAAACTTATCTGTCTACCTTTAGGAATCTGTGGCATTCAGATTTTTACACTATTTATTTTAAAGGGATTCCAGTTACATGTTGTCTTGTTAACTAGAAAAACGGTACAAGGACGATTTGCGTAATGAATATTAGATGCTCTGGTGTCTAATTAGTGTCTAATTATCATAATTCTGCGAGGTGACAGGTTGGCTGTTAATTAGATGCGAAGTTGTACAAAGGAAAACTCTTTTTACTTTAAATATGGCAACACAGCTTTGAGATTTACAAGGCTTTATAATACGTGGATTAAAGATAAAGTTACTTACGATGTTATTGTATGAAAATTTATCATGGCAACGAACTCAATACTATTTTTTTCTTTTTATATGGTAACACAAGTTCGATATTTTGTTTGCTCGTGTATTTTTAAATTACTCAAAGCTGTAATGGTAAATGCGATAGTGTTGAGAGGATTGTTTTACCTGCAGTTGGGTGTCGTCTTCGGCCGCCGAGACACAGAACGCTTTTTATCGCGCACCGACACTATGATGAACCAGCTGCAAATCTTTCCGAACCCATTTGTCTTAAGGTCGTTCAATAGCGTACCAATTCTTAAATTACTGGCAACACATTCGCGAGCATGGCATTGTGTGAGTCCATGATCGGTATAACATAATATTAGATGAGCCGATGTTATTAAAGAGTGGGAAACACTATTAAGCAAACCAAATTAATAATAAGTTCTAATAGTGAGTTAGAAGGTGGATAGACCAAATAAAGGAAACAGCAGGTGGCATATGGCAGAGAGTGGAACAGTGCAAACAATGGCGGTTTTTGGAGGATTCCTTTCCCAAAAAGGGCAAACAGATACTCGAACCTTTAAAATGAGATAGAAATATAAATGATGTGAAAAGTATCTGAATAAAAGGCTATTATTATTATTACTAATATAATTGGTATTTCCTTTGACTTCGTGTTTAGGAATTAAATATCGTGACATATTTAAATATGTTAACGTCATATGCATCAATAACTCAAGGATTTTGGCTTGATTCCAGATCTGGGAATGCATTGACCTCAAAAATTAATTAGTTTTATAGTAACATGTGTCACTAAGAGCAAAATAGTAAAACAGATGACTATCGAAACTAAACAAAAACTGAAAAATGTCTATTATTATACATCAAAAATAGGCAGCAATGGTTCTCAAAGACCAACCAAGGTCTTATACGATCTTTATAGAAAATAACCCACGTGACAGCAAGTCAGTACGGGCAAGTCAAAAAGAGCAGTGATAACTGGTCTTTCTTCGTGAGTAGCAGGACGAGATACTTATGAGAGACCGTCTTGGAAACCGAGATTTGTAACCGAATAATAACAATAAAATCATATCACAAACAATATCGCAATATAGGAACAAATTAATTAGGGCATAGCATATCTTAAAGTAGTTCTGCGACAGGACAGCCTTTTCTGGGTAACAGCTCATCATGACGTACCCAGCCGTAGCTAGTCTACTCCTTACTGTTATAGTTTTTACCCACACAAGTCAAAGAGTCGTTTATTATTTTGATAGGTGGCAAATGCAATCCGCGAATTGCTTATTTTCCCAATTTTTTAATGAAAATTAATTGAATTATCGAGCAAATACTTCCTCAACATCAAGTCTTTGAAATTGAAAATATATATAAGTAGTACAATAATTAATAAAAGGAATATTAAAACAAATTTAAAAAGTTTGGTTATGCCAGTACCTTTAATGCTGGCAGCATTTCCAAACTTTTTAAATTTGTATTAAACTTTTTAAATTTGTATTAAATTTATTTTAATTCATTTTTAATTATTTATTTTATTACTATGTAGTGTTATGTTTAGGTTTTAATAAACGATAATGTTTTATTATAGTTCGGCGAAATTTAGTTATAGCTCAATAAAATTGATGGTTTCGTAGGCGCCAACATAATTGTCAATTGTCATAACTATGGGGTGATTTCTAATACAAAAATAAAATAAAATATGGGCCTTAAAAAAAGCCAGAATTCTTACTTTTCTTTCTCACCACTTTGTCTATAAAATTGATTAGTCAAAATTGTGTTTTTTGGTACGTAATGAATGTCGAAATAGCGTGTACTGTTTTTACTTTAAAATTAATATTTTAAATAGGTGTATAAAAATCAGTGGCGCAACAACCTTTTTAGGTCGGGCTTCAGATTTCTAAAACTGTAACATGATCATTTGTCCATTTAATAGGCAAGTCGGTGATCAGTCTCCTGTGCCTGACTCACGGTTTCCTCACGATGTTTTCCTTCACCGTTCGAGCGAATGTTAAATGGGCACATAGAAAGAAAGTCCATTGGTGCACAGCCAGGATCGAACCTACGAGCTCAGAGATGAGAGTCGCACGCTGATAGGTGTATGGTTCAGAATATATTTTCAAGTTGGTCGACAAATCGAAGCAGGCTCTTATGAAACACGTCACGAAGTACAATCTAAAAGTTTTACGATACGGCAAAGTTCGTCATGTATGAGAAATAAGTAATGGAATATCCTTTACACGGAGTGTATTTTATTTGCCATTAAATTGTGGAAAAGTCTCCATACGATTCGCTACTTCCTGAACATCTTTTAAAACTCTTCTGCATAAACATTTCTCAACCATATCCTATCCTGATCAATCGTGACATTTTTAATTCTTGTAATTCCTTTTCTTTTGTATTGCATCGCCATTTGTTTTATTAATATTTTCTTTTTATTATTTTAGATTAAGGTTATAAGATTTTTTATAAGATTTGCTTATTCACTTCTTGCACTTTACCCATCATATTATTTTTTTTAGTTTGTTCCCTTACTAGGGTTGCCTGCAAGAGATTGCTTGTTAGCCATAAGGCTGCCCGTTGCATCCCTTATAATTTTTATGTATTATGTTTTATTAGTAGGAGAAAGCATGTCGCTGCTTTCTGTCTATGTTCGCAT